GGTTACAAACACCACGGTTACCCGGGGCGACACTCCCCTTACCCCACCTCCTACCTGCCGCACCGCCCCCACTCCGCAGGTCCTTCCATCACACTGTGTCTCAGTTTGTAATATAGAGTGGCAGTGTTCCTCGCTCACGCTCTATCTGACTTCAGGTGTTCAGGTGTTGGACGGAGGCAGCAGCGCCCCCTCTCGTCTGATGAGCAGTTCTTCATCATCACAGCCTCCTCCTCAGAACTCCAGGTGAGGCCCCGCCCACTGCCTTATATGGTCAATGTAGGCATTACCTCATAAACTCAGGTAACTCCCTCTGTTAGCTAACCATTAGCATCGGTTTTTCACACGTGTTACGATGTATGTGAATATTAACACGTGTGACGTGTTCAGTCAGTATCCGTGTCCCTGGACGGCTGGATGCAGCGAGCTAAGCCCCTCCCACCCGCCGTGCAACGCTCTCCACGGACCAATCGGCAGCGAGAGTCTTATGCAGCATGCCAATCACGGCCGAGTGGGTGGTGCCGGCTGGCCATCTGGCCCCACCCATTCCTTCTGAGGAGGGATGTGATTGGTGGGATGGGTGACTGTTTACCACTGGTTAATACTGATACTTATCAGTAGTGTGTAGTGTGTGAGTACTTGTACTCGTGGCTCAAAAGCACAGAACCGTGTAAAACCTGTTGTTTTTAATGTACAGGGGATTGAGTACATATCTAGTGACCCCTGGTGGCAGATTATATGTACTACAGGTTTATACAGGTTGCTGATGCTATGAATAAGCATTGGTTGCTAATTGCAGCTACTTAGCATTATGCTAATGGTTTGCCATGGCTCCTCCTGGTGGCTACTAATACGTTCATGCTAATTGTTAATAATAAAATATAAAACATTATTAATATGATTAATTAATTAAAGTCTGTTGTTTTACAAACCATTGACGACTGATGGCCTCTTACATCTGTGGCTAAATATCCGCTGGTCCTTCATCTATTGATTATTTAAACTGGTGGCTACGAGTTTCCACGTGTGGCCACTTGTAACGTTTGTAATTATCTTTACAATTCAGTGACGACTATAAAAAATGTTTACCCGTGTTTAACGATGCAAAACTACTGGCAACCACAGGTGGTTATATTTGGTTACTTATACCTGAGTGATAATAGCATTTAGCGGCCACGAGTGGTTCATTATTTCATGTAAATACTCAGTTATTAAATGCACAAGATGATCATGTAAAAAGTTCTTCAGTGTATCATGTTTTGACGACAGGTTTGATGTGACACTCTCTGTACTGTTGTTGATGTTATGGCGCCTCCTGGTGTTGTCCTGAGGGATGTTGTCTTTATTTAAACGTGGACGTGTGTACAGTGTCTGAACAAGTGAAGACATTCCATCAATGTGTTTTTGCAACAAAACCAGTTTTGTCGTTCATTTGTTTCTCGTTTGTCGTTGTTGTTTCTCGACTTTTCCTTATTTCTGAAAATCAGAAATAAATTAATAAACAGATCTAGAACAAGTGCTTTGGATTCAAATCTACAATTTACTGACTGAACGTCTTGTTGTTTGTTGATGTTTACATGTGTGAGACACTGTGAACCTGCTCTGTGTCAATAAAGGTTTAAATGACTGGAAGATTTTATTTTCACTGGAATATACATTTATCATATTATTTCAATATTCAATTCAATTAAAAGTCAAATTCAGACTTTCCTCCAAACGTTTATCTTTTTAAGTTAAAATGAAAAAGCATCTTTTGAAATATTGTTCTTTTTGTATCATTGATTTCTGTATTTCTACGACAACGATGTTACGACCTGTTTAAATAAAAGATTAAACTTCCGTGTATAAGAACGATGGAATTCATGATCTCATACATTTTTCAGAAATTAGATCCAGTTCGTCTGTGAAGTTTGAAAAGAAAACTTTGTGTCCATTAAACAGTCAAATATAATATTCACATTCTGTGCGGTGTTCCTCTATAGTTGAGACATTTATTTTGAAAAGGCAGACGTCTTATTTTGAAATATAATCGGAAATGCACTCTCTGACCCGGATGTAGTTGCTGTGTATCGTGTGTAAACTTCCTGAGAGGATGAAGTGAGTCCACGAGCTGTTTCTGGATTAAAGGCTCAAATTAACACAAGGTAAAGTTTTCTGTCACTTTACTTTTTATTTCGCTTTTTGTTTTAATGTTTAAAATAACTCTTCACCTCCGGTTTCTACCGGAAGTCTATGGAATCGAATGCTAACGTGTTAGCATGTCACTTAGCATGAAACGCACCGTCTCCTCCAGGTCGTTTGAGTGATGAGAGCGTTTCTGTGGCTGATTTGAAATGAGGGTTGTTCTCTTCATTCTTCTTCCAACATGTTCTCATGCTGCTCAGCTCTAACTCTGTCTGAGCTGCTGCGAGACAAAGAGTCACTTTCAATAACTCAGCCTTCATGTTCCCAACTTCACCGAAGATCGAGTCTGCAGAAGAGAAATCACTTCTAGAAAAGAAAG